TCTCTCTACTGCCCCCTTAACTTCATACAGTACAAGTTGTGTGAAATGATTATGTTGTCATTCTTCAACTTCAAACCTGGTGCTGGCTAGAATAAAATGCATCTGTGAGTAAATGCATTTTCAAACAGATAATTGCTTAAATAGATGTGTGCAGTCTGTGTTTGTACGGATGACATTTCTCTAAAACATGATATGTCTCCTTTAACTTGACTTCACAGTAACATTCACAAACATGCACAAACTGAATCACTTTTAATTCACGGTAGAGAACTGGAGAATGGACAGCGCTGGAGGCTGTGTACTTCAAATGAATGTGAAATAATGTGCCCCAACACATTTTCACATCACGTCACAAAAAAAATCTGAAATGTACACATTAAAAAAAAGATGAAAATCACGTATTCTTTATTTTAGTTTCAGGCTTTGGCCAAACACAGTGTAATTTCTACTGTATTCCTTCGCTTTAGAGAATTACATAATGATCGTTATGTTTCCACAGCCTTAGTTTGCACATTGAGACCTAAAGGAAGTAGAGGAGAGCATGCACTGAGGTGATTTCGGGGCCACAGGGAGAACCAGACGTACACACACAAAATATAGTTTTCTGTTGCAATACAAAATGTGTTCAAAGTTGCCTATAAACAGTAAAAGCTGGTGTTTTTTCCCTCTTTATAACCTTTAAATTCTGGCTCTAGTTCTCTAAAAGCATAATGTAAACATAACACAACAACATTACATCAGACATCTACATATTGCATTCGTAGATGAAATTAGCGTCTTTGCTAAAATCTGTGATATTTGCACTGTATTAAAAAATGCATATTAACTCATTCACTGCCATTGACGTTTATAGACGTCAATCTAAATCCGATCTATATTTTGCAATAAGTTACCCATATTCTATTCTCAATTGCTGAAAAACTAAAAGGGGTAGAAACTTGCTTTTTTATTACTGAACGGCAAGAGGCAGAGCTTTCATTTGGTATGTTTCATAATTGTGTCAACAAGTGAGTGTGGGCTCACATTTATATGAGGTTTGGAAAAACACTAAAGAAAAGTCTCTGGCAGCATGAGGGATGCTTCTTTCTATATGTCTGGCAGTGAATGAGTTAATATTAACGATGAAATGTATGATTAACAGTATGTTGTTTTTGTCTGTGTTGTGTCTCTCTGTTTTGCTCCGAGTCTGAAGTAAAAGCTATGAACCAAAGTTACATTTTTAATAACACATTTTTGTACTGGTTTCCTCAACTATTTGGTAGATCACCTTTGAGTCACTATTTCTCCTTGAAGCTTAGAACTGAAATCTACCTTTTTGGGGAATCCCACTTGGTTTAAGGTAATTCTAGGATCAAACTGCATCTCAACCACTTCTTACTACTCCTTTTCGAGCTGGATTTTTGTTACTGAAACAAAACACGCTGTATATCTGTATATGATCATGTATTTTTTCTTTTTCTTTTCTGTTGTTGTTTTCATTTATTTTTCGAGCTGACTTTTTTAAAATAAAAGTTGTTGTGATGTTTGTTGGGTGTTTTTTCTATTCTGTTGTTGTTCTTTGTTCTTGTCTGCCGTGGCTCAAAAATAAAAGAATTCATTCATTCATTGTTTGCCATGGCTCAAAATAGAGTACTTAAAAAATAATAATAATAATAATAATTTAAAAAAAATGTAACTGGTAAAGGCCTATAATACAAAACTTGGGGTTAAAAAAAAACAAAAACAAATGATATGTTTTATTAGTGAAGAAAAAATGACATTGCTTTCTTCAAGGCGTGAACATTAAAGGGTTAAAGAGTTCTATCACTGTCTGCAGATATCAATCAATCAATCAATCAACTTTATTTGTATGGCGCCTTTCCAACACAAGGCCACTCAAAGCGCCTCACAACCCACATAATATCACACAAATCAGAGACATCAATAAATACATTAAAAACAGAATAAAATCACAAATAATGAAAAAAAAAAAAAAAAAAACTTAAAATATTAAAAGCACACACGGGATTAAAATAATAAATAACCACAATGCATTAAAAAAAAAAGAGTATGTATCAATAAAATCCTTCAGCCGTATGCACAGCTAAAAAGAACAGTTTTTAGCCCTGATTTAAAAATTGCCAGAGTAGATGCTAGCCTCACATCTTCAGGAAGATTGTTCCAGATTTTAGCTGCATAAATCTCAAACGCTGCCTCCCCATGTTTAGTTCTGACTCTTGGAACCAGTAAGAGGCTACCTCCTGTGCTCCTCAGAGTCCGGGTCGGTTCATATGGGACTAACAAGTCGCTTAAGTACCCTGGTGCGAGGCCATGGAGAGACTTGTACACAAGCAGTGCTGCTTTGAAGTCTATTCTCTGAGCCACAGGAAGCCAGTGCAGAGACCTGAGAACTGGACTAATGTGGTCATATTTCCTGGTCCTGGTCAGGACTCGAGCTGCAGCATTTTGGACATACTGCAGTTGTTTTACAGCCTGTTTGGAGAGACCTGTGAGCAGGCCATTGCAGTAGTCTAACCTACTGGAGACAAATGCATGGATGAGAATCTCCAGATCTGATTTAGACACTATGTTTCTAATTTTGGCAATGTTTTTCAGATGGTAAAAAACATTTACCATCTGACGTTCTCTGACGTTCTCTGTCTACATCCTCCATAAGATTATACCACAGAAAAAGTCAGCATTTTACAGTGATTTTTCATTACTCAGACTCTTTCAATAAACTTTCAACAACTCTCGGGAAAAAAATTCAATGCCAGCCAGTCTGGTGCTTCCCCTCTACTAATTCACAAAGCAGACGCAAATCTCCCGGGAGGAAATCTAGAGGAACAGTTTGCATTATTAACTGCGTTCTCATCTTCAATATTTAATTAATATGGAATTGGCTCACGCTCCCCACGGACCCAACATTATCCTGCTCATTTGCATTTTACATTTGTCATGTTTTGTGGGCGGCGCCGCATTACTCTTTCATAGATCCCTGTGTAGAGACATCCTCGCCATTGGAAGCGCCTGTTCTCGTGGGGGCGGGCTGCTTGCCACTTGACTTTCCAACTTCGCTGCCGGTGAATAATTGATACACTTTTATTTTCATCTCAAACAAGGACTCGTCTGTTTAAACATTTAAGTGTGAACCCAGGGGCAGAGGTGAAAGCGTTCGAAAATTATCGTGGGTACGACACAGAATGCCCTAACAAGTACTTTCTCCCGGTCCGGCTATGGCTCTACTTACTGGCTCTGCTAACATTGAAATAATTCTTTATGGCGTCTTGCTTGGGTCCATCTTTGTTTTGTCAGGAATGGTACAGAGTATGGCATTATTGGCATTATTGGCATTTACACGGGAGGAAAGCATGTGACATCACTTGGCTATGGATGTAATTTAGCTTGTGTATATTCTTGTACTTTTAGCTTGTTTTAATCCTGTACTTTTTAGCTTTTTTTATTTACATGTATTTAATTGTCTGGTGCACACTGGGAACTTTTGCACAAGCATTCCAATGTGGTTTTACTGCAAATGGCAAATTAAATCCTTTTGAATCTGAATCTATATTACAAGTTATGTCTGTGGATAGGCGAGCTGATACAATGTAAGAATTGAGGTTTTAGATTCAAAGTTTTATGTCATACTGATGTAGGCCTGTCACAAATTGACTTTATTGACTTTTTTGCACCCTGAAGAAGGACAAGCTGGGCTGAAACGTGGTGGTGCGTATTTTAATCCACAGCCATGAGAAAATAAAGGCTTTTTAAACTTTTCTAAACTACTGACCACGAGTGCCTTGGATTTTTTGATTTTCTAAGTTCTTCATGATTTGCTTTTACCTGGAAAGTCAAAACTAAATTTTTCTTTTAATACGTTATTGACTTTGATTGATGGATCAATACGTTTTGAATAGGTCCAGGCAATACTTCTTTGGGCCTCTGTAGTTTAGCTGAGTCGTGCATACAGGGTAGAAACCTCAAAACATTGATTATATTTGAGATGGCAGCATCTGGAAATACTTTTACTATCTTTTGGGATGGAGATTAAACATGACACAAAATTCCAACATTCATATTTTTCATTAAACAGTTCAGTTCAAAAAGAGGCAAGAGCTTTTACATTTCCCTACCTTAATTTTGTACTGAATCTGTATTTTTAAATAGAAGGTTAATTCACGTTTTACTTTTGTGGCTAAATATGTCATATTTTATTCTTTTCTCAGCACAGGTCTTACATGAAACGGACAAAACAAAATAATCACTTGACTGGGATAATGCTGTTATATATAGTTTATCTTACTATTATTAGCAATTTTCCATACATTTTATTGTAGCGACCGCAACAAACAGGTACAGAATCCCATTAGAAAAGTTGAAACACTTTTAAGCAGCTTTGAACTGATTTCCATTTGTCCTACATTAAAAATACTTGCTATAATTAATGCTTCTTTACACTGATTGTCCACTTATTCTTCGCTCATTAAAAAGAGAATAATCCTCTGCATTGCACAGAATGTTAAAAAAGAAAAACAAGACACAACTAGAGGCACTATTTATCACTGCTCTAAATATGCACAAAGTATTCCTCCAAACTTTAACTTATTTTAAATACAAGAAAAACATAAACTACTAGATGCAGATTTAATTAAAACTATTTAATCACACTTTGTATTAGCGCTCCCACTGCTACTATCACTGTTGTTGGACCCTGCTTTACTGGTTTAAAAGTTTTTCACTCTATTATAGTATACAAAGTAGATGAAGGGTAAAGGGGACATGCAAAGGGCCCATCCCATGAAGTCAAATGATGTCTGGGACCTGCCTCAAATATGCAAAACATGCCGTTTCTATAGACAAGGACTCAATGTGCACTGAGGTCTGTGGCTGAACGTGATGGAGTTTAACGATGACGGAGACCAGAACATGGACATAGAACATCGTGAACCTCGACGGCCATTTCTTCCACATATAATCGATTTGAGCTAAAAAAAAATACAAAAAGTAAAAGAGGCACCAACCTTCTCGTAGCTCTGTAGGAATGTAGGAATTGGATGCAAAATTAAGAAGTAAAGGATAGGAGAAAAACAGGGAAAAACACAGAGTAAAAGGTGTTTAAGGAGTTTAGATGCCACACTTTGAAGGACCGTTTATTGGAGAAAACAAAATGTACTGAATTAGTTTGGTAGTTTTTTTGCAGAAACTAGGCCTGATAGACTGGACATTTCTACTTAACATGTATTTATGTATTAACTGGGAGGATAAGCCCCAAGAGATTAATGTTTTCAAGTGGGACCTCAAATTTACAGCAGTATAGCCGGCGTAATGGCAATTTACTACAGGTGAAACTTGGAAGTGAGAATACTGTTCAAAAGTTATTAAGGTATTTTACTCACAATGTGTAACCAATATTGATATAACTACAGTACACCCAAAGTGGCATACGTCATGTTTTGAGTTTGTTATGATTTTGATAATTTGTCGTTTTTTGCTGTTCATGGGGTAAAGTCCATTTTGAAAATATCCACATTTTTAGGTATATTCTATTAGCGTTTTTTAGCTGCTGTGAGCTAATGTATACATTTCCCGACTAGCTTCATGTTGAAAATTGAATCACAGAAGTAAACAGACATTTTTGACGATATTTTTATTTTCAGAGTTTCACCTGTATTTTATAGCAAAAAGGCCCAAATTTGGATATTGTTCAAATCCATGATTTGTTTCGTTATTTTAAGAAGAGGTTTCTTCTTAAAATAACCAAACAAATCTGATCATGTACGTCCTTCTAGTTTGATAAAGGAAAGATATTGCATAGGCTTCTGGGAAAGAACAAGGGTGGATCATAACTCTATACCTACGCATACTACAGCATTCTCTCTATCTCTACTGGATAAAGTCTAAGGGCTATTCTCGTAAGGTTAAGGTTAAATCAATGCAGGGTAAGTGGAGTGACAAACCAAACCAAACCCAAAAATACTCACAACGACATTGCAGAATATTGTCGCTGCAGACTTTATTGACCACATACATTCTGATTATAAGGTTGTTTATTTTCCTTTGCATGCACCGGTAAATTGTGTATTTTCTTACCTCGGACGTAGAGATTCGCCGGAGCGGAGTAGCGGGTCCCGTCATTGTTGGTGGCCACACACTCATACTTGCCCTGGTCGGACTCCTCGCTTTGCTCAATCTGCAGTGCTCCTAATTGGGAATAACAAATGGGGGAATAGGGTAGAAATGGTTAAAATGAGTGGTAAGTACAAATTAGGCAAGCAAAAGTAAAAAGAAGCGCGGTTCGTTTTTAGTTTTGCTTTGCGCTTATAGGTTGAGTGGGCGACAGTTTGCGATACAGTCTATTGTTTGGTAAAGCCCTCCTCATTATGACAGCCTGAGCCACTCGCTGAGGCAACGTGGAGGCTGTAATCCAACTAGGAGTGGAGGTTTTGCTGTAAATTGTAATCATGCAAGACATCGCAGCACAAATATATCGCTTCTCATGTTAACCTGAAGTAACAACAAAATAGAAAATGACAAACGGAAAACAGAAAACGTATGCCATCTTCTGTGTTTATGTGATTTATTAAGAGAGCGGAGAGTCACATAGAAATCTAAACAGACACTCATCCTAGAGCCAATGTGAAAAAGAATTGGAGTGGAGTCAGGGGCAAACCCTTGAATATACAACATGTCACTGGACTGGTCAATATGGGGATGAGTGAGTCTGCTTAAGGGAGACATGGATCAAACAAAAGAGGTTTACAATAGAAGAAAGCAGCATAACAAGGGAGACAATTGAAAGAAAGGAATTTAGGTATGTATTTTAGCATATTCAATCACAAATCGGGTTTATTCAAGCTATAAATTTGTTTTTGAAAAAAGGCAGCTCGCACAAAAATAGAAAAATGCTGCTCATGTGTATAAAAAATATTAGTGTAAAGTAAAACCAACCAAAACGAACCCTCTGAAACAAAGGTTTCTGACATGCAAATCTTGGTAAGAAATGTATGTCGACGCAACTTACAACCTTCTGACAACCCTTAGCTGAAAAATAAAATGCAATTGTATTAGAAGACAAAATTCAAAATATTGGCCTGAGCCAACAAGAAGGCAACCAACCACTGCTTTAGCTGAGACAGCTACAAAAGACACCCATAAAAATCCACCAATGGGATCAGCAGTGTGGTGTCACATGACCAGGAAAAATCACTGTATGCATCAACAACTCTCCAGCTCCTTGACAAAGGCAAAAATCAGCCAATCGCGTCCTCGCCACACTCTACTGTTTGCCTTTCCCAAACCCTGAAGAAAAAAGTCAAAAAGTAAAATATTCCTCAAACCCAAGAAAAGTAAGAAAAATAGGTGAAAGAGAAAAAGCACCTTTATCAACTTTATCAAAAAAGTGGTTGTTTGGGCTTTTTTGTAGAGGTACAGGAGAGGAAAGCAAATAGAAGAATGGTAAAAGCTGGCAAAGATAGAAAGATTTCTTTGGGAGTAAAAAGCAGAGGAGAGGCAATGTTGTCTTCAGCATGCCTGCGTGATTCCACAGCATCTGTGCATACTTTTAGTGCTGAACAAGAACAGCTAAGGGGGAAAAATGTTGGTTGTTTTAGTTGGACAAAAAGAGGGACACATGATTCGCTATGGTTAAAAATAAATAAAAAATGAACAGAAAAAAATATACTTCAAAAAAAGAGTTGTCATTGGATATGCTTATTTGAGCCAGAGCAAGCATATCACAAGTGAGCTTAACGGGCTCCGAAACGGAATACAAAGGAGGAAATAAAGCAGAGACAAAAAATGGAATACAAATTTAGTGAAACGAAACAGGACAAATAAGAAAGGTTCCGATGAACGTAATGGGATTTGGACTCAGTAAACAGGACAGAATGGAGGTGATTCGACTGAATGGATGGATTGACAGCAAGAATGAATCTGTATTATTTTCATTCTGTGAACGTCAGTTCAGCACTCTTACCTCTTATTGGTGTACCACCTGGGTGGATAATATGAATGCAAATAAGATTAGAAAGAAGAAGCATTAGTACGTGTAGATAGAGGCTGAGGGCTTTGGAAGAAGAATCAAATTAGATTTAACAGGGCACGTAAATAGAGAGAGAGCACAGAGATAGAGAAGTTTGCTCAAGTCTATTGGCAGAGAGACAGGACTCATTAGAAACCATTGGTCTGAGGTCATTGTACAGTGTATGGTGTCATTGTCTGGACTATAGCCTCTAAGAAAGTGAGAACATTCCCTTTAAACACATCCCTGATGCTGAGCTACAGCAGTGGCACCTCCCTGAACACAGACTGGGTGGTGTTAAAGATCAAGTGAGTTGTGAGTAGCTGGTCAGTGAGTGAGTAACACAAATGTGAGTATACAGTGGTAAATCTGACCCTACCCCTGCACTGGAAGTGCTGGACAGTGAGCCTGACTAACTAACCCTGCTGTTAGTACGTCCATGCCATGCATTTTTGTATTTATTGGAAACATAGAAATTAGTGGAGTGATGTGTGCTTTAGAGCTAAGCACTTACCAAAGGATTCTGTAGATTTAAAAATACAGAGAAAAGAAAGACAGCATAAGAATAGGATTATATTCTTAGATGTTAGGTTTAGTTAACATGGTTCTGTTAAAACTTAATCAACTCTACATTCAAGTCAGGGTTAATTCTACACAGATCAGTTAATACAAGCCAGCAGTAAGGTTAAAAAGAGTTAACACGAATTAAAAAAGGACAGCTGTGAAATCTGAAGACAGGTGGTCGAACATACACGGGTTTAAGTCGTTTAGCTTGGCTGTTAAATTCCATTTAGGAGGAATCTCTGGGAATTGGAGTAAGCTGCAGGCAAAGAAAATAGAAGCTGGGGGCTTAACCCTAAAGCAAAGGCTGCTGTAATAATGCAGGGGAGGGCGAAGCGGCAGTCTACAGGATTCATGTCCAAAAGGACCCTCTGATCGTTAAAACAACCAAGTCAACCTAAAGATTGTTTTATCCATCATCAGAAATATCACAGCAAATTGAGAAATCCATGTTTGTTAGTCGTATTATTTGATCCTAGATTGTTACTTTCTATCACTCCTCAGTGTGAGTGTCGAATAATAATCCTTTAAAATAAACAAAATCAATGGCAAATGGATCCAAAAAAACACTGCACCAATGCAGTGGAACAGAAATAAAGAAAATACAACAGAAATCAGCAACATAATTTATTGATCACAGCAGTGGACAGTGAGCAATGGGCACACGGGTTAGAGTGGAAGCCAGTGAGGAGAGAAACAGGGGCAACGTCCCAAAAAGGCAATTCAAATTACCCGAAGACAAGACAGACAACACACACCAGGGGTTACAGAAAGAAGGGTTGTAGTAGAAACCAATGCCATTACCTAAAAAATCAAAAGCCAAATGTAAAGTTAAACCATGGGAAGAAGAGAAGATGAGGTAGGAGACGAGAGGGAGCAGAGCTGAGAGAGAGAAAGAAAGGAAGGGACCAGCCATTTTTTTTTTTTTTTATAGGAGCACCGAGCGCAGGAGGCCTACCTGATCGGAGCTGTTTAATGCGGCCGTTGTTGGTGGTGGTGTTGACGGGTAGAAAGTCTTTGAACCAGGAGATGTCAGGGTCCGGGTTACCACTAGCTGCACAGAGCATGGTGGCGGTGCGAGTCCGCTCCACCACCTTCAACTGTGGGCCCATGTCTATGGTGGGGAAACCCTGGGGTAATTGGTCCTCTGCACGAACAAGAAAAGCAAGTTCAGATGGATGTCATTTAATACAGGGGAACCCAAACTTTTTACATAGCAAGAAGCAACAATTTCAAGCATCAAAACATCAGATTCAGATTAATTTTGCAGTAAAAAAACACATTGGAATTAGCAAAAAGTCTTCAGTGTGCACAGCCAAATACAGACATAAAACAACATTAAAAGACAAAAATATGTTAAATTATGTTATGTTTTTCTTTTTTGATAAATGACACATGTTTTTCCCAACTTATCATGTTGTTTGCATAAGATAGAACCCTGGGAGTCACTATTTGACACTATGGACTGAGAGCTGATTGGGTGAGTGAGGGTGGACCTTCTCTTTTTCGCTTTACTGTCTGAAAAGCTAAAGATGTGAAAAAGGCCAAAAATGCATCCATGTGAAATATATACTGGAAGAACCAAACAGTTTTGAGAGTGAGGACAATAGTAATTTGAAAGTTAGGCACCCAGCAACCCGGCAATGGATGAAGCGAAAGAAAATGGATGGATGGCACCCCAGCTTTAGCTTTGATAGTACTTGTTGGAATCACATTAAAAACGATAGGACTTGAATAGGAATTGAAGAGACCTGATATCACTACAAGTAGACCTATATTGTTTATCAATCAATTCATTGACCGATAATAATTCTATAATACTAATAAGGCATCTAAAAATCATCCTGCAATCCCCAGTTCAAGTCACTTTGAAAACCACAAGCCTGGAGCAGTCTTCCAAATATACTCAAATCTCGACTAAATCTTGAATTAGGTTGTGTATACGTTTTTCGTTATACAACTAGCACTGGCACGATATATATGAGAATGTGGGAGGGAGGAGGTGCATTTCTCCTCCAGTGGAATCTTAGAACCTTCGGCACCGAACCTATTTGCCAGCGTCTTTACAACTTCCCTGGTGTGCTGATTTATAAGCTCCACATCATACATTACTTAAGGGTTTTTTATATTTCGTGTGACACCTCACCTTGCCTGTTTCCTGTAGTATAATTTAAACTGAATAATGCATGTGTCCTGGAAATACCTCAAAGACTTAGTTGGCATAAAATCTGTCTATACGGAATTCCAGGGAAGAACCACTGGTTTGGCATCTTCCGGCCCATTGAAGTGAAGCTTGTATGAATCTAATGTTAATAGTGATTGCTGTATAGCTTTGTGATGTCCTTTAGCGTTTGCTCAAGTGTAATTACAGTTATAGGATTGAACTGTGATTCAACATAGCATACAGGTTGATTGCACAAAAGGGGTTTAAAAATCTTTAGTCATTCACAGCGACAGGTACAAGCGTGAAAATGGACAAAATGTTTTCAAAAAAGGCAGACGGAGCCGGTGAATACGTAGAAACAGTGTGATGTATTCAGCGAGGTGTGTCTGTGATGTTGTTTGATGAAGGCAGGTGGCTTTGTGTCGTGTGGTGTAAGATGAGATGCCAAACGAGATAATGTCATTGTTCCACGAGACAAAGACTCTGCCTGAAGCGCAATGATCTTAGAAGTCAGCGTATTTACACCAGGAACACTTTCAGCCCACACACACACACACACAGACGCACACACACACACACACACAGACGCTCACACACACACATCTGCACACACTACTGAAGGAAATCTGTCTTTGTGATTGAGTGAATCAACAAGTAGCCAATCCAATGCTCTTGATCTTTTAGGTGCCGAAAGCTCACAAATCCCAGGACACTTTCTATACAGCGACTTGGCTTTCCACAAAAAAAACCCCTGTATTGTGCTTCTCTAATTATTTTAAATGGTTATATTCATAGATGTATGATGTTTGCCTGCATGGATAGGTACATACATATACATAGTCAATAATTTAACAGTTTCACCATGTGCCAATATATATATAAATATGTAAAAAAAAGCATCAGTTATACAATGGTCCCTTATCGTTTTACATCAAATTTCCCACTTCCAAAAAAACTTTAAAAATCTCTAGCGCTAATAATTCAGTATTTCATCCATCCTAACCAGGAAGTCCCGGATGCATCACATCGCTGAACTTATTCAAAAGACGTTCAATATACAGTAGGTGTTTGAGTCTGGGACAATAATGTATGCATCTGGATTTTAATGATGTGCCCAAGGGTTTTAGAGAAAGAAAGATGAGTGAAATAGATGTCAAAACTTCTCCTTTCATCGTGTGAATATCAGGACCTGAGCTTTAAACTTGTGCAGACTAAGTACACTCTTTCTATGAACCGGGGTGTTTGGCCACAGAGCTCGGGGTCTAATTTTTGAAGCTTGAGTAGGCACAACATGTTACACACAGCACTTTCTATGTTCTACGATTTAGGAAAAGACAACTTGACTTTGTGATTTGGTTTTGGAGCTTCCGAAGATGAGGTAAGAGAAAAAAGAAGGGAGAAAATATGTGGAACTGTAAAAAAAATCAATGTGAAGTTTTCCTATTGAGGCCTTTTGATCTAATACACATAACAAGTCACACCAAAACTCCCAGAGCTGTTTTCTGTTTTGGAAGTGTAATTTATTAATTTATGTAAATGTTCTGGTCCTCAGACATTTGGGACTTTTTTTATCTTATCGCTGTCGTTATTTTCTTTAACATTATTTTTTAAATGTAAGAGTTCTACTTATACCTCCCAGAACAGTCATGTTGACTGCTCCTTTCATTCGGCCGTGACAATCAAATGTCAACATTTTTGTCACTTGGCAACTAATATTCTATGGCAACATTAAAGGCCACTCTCTGCAAAGTCTTGGATCTGGTTTTGAGCCGAGTTAGCTTGGCTTTGCACCAGAGAAGTGCTTGTTTACTGTTTACTGTCAGCAGTTAGCATTTAACCTTTAACCGTTGTTGCTTTATTTAAGTTATATTTCATATTCTATTATTACATAAAAGTTTTTGTTATAAAAAGTGTTGATAAAAGTGCAGGTAAACCCCTTTTAATAAACTACTTTTAATAAAACAGTTGGAAAAGTAACTCACTCATTCTCCAGGTTATGGAGTGGGATGAGTAAAAAAAATGAATTCTGGGAGTCCTAGTGTTAACACCATTCCAGCCAAAGCAATCAAAGAGATAGTAAGTAAGTAACGTTTATTTATATACTGTAGTGCATTTTACAGACAAAAGCGCTTTACAATGTCCAGAGATCAGATATTGTTCAAAGAGATCTGCCATTCTCCATTCACCAGCCATGGTATCTTTCCATGCACCAAGTCATTCAACGGTTTCCAACTACTCATAAGACTAAAAACATGGACCAGCAGAGTTTTGCATCTTGTGTTTTTGGTAAAAACTTATTGCACTGATTTGGCTTTGACTAAGTCGGGATAAAACGGCGTACTCAGTGGACTGTTTAATCTGCAAAACATGACTTGCTAATTCCTCTGAGGTTTTTGCGCACCTTGACTCTTCCTGCCGCTGTTGTGATACGGCTAATTAGTGTCTCTCGTTACTCTCATAAACATCACCTTTTTTGGGGAGAAGAGACTTTGTTCATTAAATTTTCATGAGGAGACATCAGTCTGGAAACAGCTTTGAGATGCCGTAGCCCGTGTGCAGCCAAACGACAATCATGGCGGCGTTCCAACAATGCTTTTGGGTATCTGGCATGGTGAACCAACTCGGTGGATAAATCTTCTCTGAAATAGACTGTATTACAAATGAGTGACTTCATACTCAACCGCAAAACTTTCCAACGCAACTTCGTGTCCCGAGTTGAACTGTTTTCCTATATATTAAAACGGCATTTGATAAATTGCTTCATTATTGGACGCTATTAGACGGTCAAGAAGGAGTTAGCTGGGAATAAATGTTCTATGTAGCTTGCGTTCAAACTCCCTTCAGCCTCTTCAAGGTCGAACAGACAATTAGTCAATTCGGCAGCGAGTCCAAAGTATACCTGATCAAACACAATAGCTGCGAGCGCGCCTCAAAGCATGGATGCGTGTTGAATGTAATAATTGGATGTGACAAACCATGCAAACTCGAAAAAGCACCTCCTGTGAAATTACAATATATTCCGATACAAAGGCTCGGAGATCGTAATTTATCTATCTATCTAAAGAAATCAAGAATTACAATTTTCGGTCCAACCTTGAGCTCAAATGTAGACGGAAAGGGTTGCGCCGCAGCTGTCGTTGTTTTCAAATGCAAGCTTTCAGAATGTGTAATATAGAATCACATGTGTCCACTAGCACTTTACTGAATCACTTTGATCTTTGCTACTTCATTAAGCTAAAGTTAGAGATTTTATACTTACTTCTTCAATAAGCTAAAGTTAGAGATTGTATATACTTACTTCTTCATTATGCTAAAGTTAGAGATTTTATACTTACTTATTCATTAAGCTAAAGTTAGATATTTGTTATACTTACTTCTTCATTAAGCTAAAGTTAGAGATTTTAAATACTTACTTCTTCATTAAGCTCAAGTTAGAGATTTTATACTTACTTCTTCATTAAGCTAAAGTTAGAGATTTGTTATACTTACTTCATTATTAAGCGAACAAGTGGATAAACTCATGATTATGGACTTTTTTGATGGATTTATGTGTGAATATTGACACTTGTATATACCACGGAACTGTTTGGAACCTGGAAGCTGAAAAGGGAAGGCTAGTATCTGCGCGAGCGGAGCGGTGCCCAAAGTTTTAGCATACCAGCTAGCTAAAGCTAACAACTTATCGAGTCTGCCGAGTCTGCCACACGCAACAAGAGATGGCAAGAGGAAAAAAAGCCGCAACGGAGGACATGGAGGAGCTGAGGAGGTCAATAGACTCACTCACGGAGGCTGTGGCTGCTATACAAAAGCAAACAAAAACTGATGAAGATGTCGGAGACATTCGTAAAACACTCATTACTCTGACGGAGGAGACCACAGTGATCAAGGAGCAGCAAAACCGGATTCTACAGCTGATGGAGGAGGTGAAACAGCTGAGAATTTTAAACACCGAAAAAGACAAGAAGATTGCAGACCTGGAAAGA